GTTTTTTTTTTTAAATCAAGTTCGAACTACATTAAAATTTTAGATGTTATGCTTCAGGCTTGATATATATAAAAAAATATTTTTCATTATTTATTTAATTTTATATTTATATATTATTTAAAAATATTATTTAATATTTTAATTTAATAAATTTAATATATATGCGTGTGTAGAGCTATGAGTAAATTCGAAAAAAAATAAATTATGATTTAATATATCTAAATTCAAAGTTTATGATATAATTTTGACATCAAATAAAAATACAAGTATAATGAAATCAAAACTATTAATATGCATAGAAATAAGACAATCATATAGAGTTTATTTTTTTATTGTTAGAAAAACAATTGCACATACAACTTATGTTGCTAAATAAATTTATTAATAATAATATAATTAAATCATTATATTATTTATATTGTCTGAGATGAAAGATCAAGTGTTAAAGAGATTGATTAAAAGATAAAATGTCTCACTATTTCTTCAGTAGATGAGAGGAAACACGCCTTGGATCTCTAGAATCAGCTTTTGACACCCAGCAGGCAAATTAGAAAGGGTTTACAAATTGTTATGCGCGTTCAAGATAAAGTGGATTTTTTTTTTTTTGGTTTATTAAAGAAGGTATTAATATTCAATCATGAAAATCCACATTCATGTACCAAAGAAAATCCACTTTCAAATCAATTATCTTAAAGGAAGAAAATATTTATTTTGTTGAGTAAGATTGCCAACTTGAGGAGGTGATGTGACATTTATTTGGTATAGTCCAAATCTTCTTGAGTAGATTCAATTGAGTAATTTTTTTTTATTATTTGGATCAAGCAATGAATGTGAAGTATGAGTTTTCAAGTCCCTTTCATATTTAAGGGAGTGATGGGTATGCTTCATTTATGTACTTCTAAAACAGTTGTGGGTGGTACATTTAGAAAAATAAATTATTTCTGAAGATTGAGTTCTAAAATCTGTATTTTTTATTTTTTAAATCGTCATCTCCTATATAAAAAAAGAAAGTAGCTATCTGTCATATTAACAAGTTACTTTATCATATGATATCAATTAGGTTTATTTCTCATGTGATTATAATAAATTCAGAACGAAATGTAATTTTGCCAAACCAAGATTCTGATACTGAATTATAGAAAAAAGAAGTAGAAATGTGCCAACACCCATTCATTGCAATTGGGAGAAGCAAAAGTTAACACAAAAGTCATATTCTCGGGAAAAGATCCTTTTTACTGTTTAAAAATCAATGAAAATTTTTCATTAATTTATTTACGAGTAATAAATTCACTTTCAACTAAATATATAATGAATATTTTTAAATCTTTTTTATTTTTAAATTAATTTTTATTTATTTTTATATTTAAATTAAATTATTAAATTTCAATCATAAATTTAATTTAAAGTGTATTTATGAAGTAATAAAAACTTTGACTGAAATTTTTAAATAATGAAGAGCATTCTCTCCCTTATATTCCCATAGGTTGGTTGGAAAGTGTGGCGAGTAGATATTTAATTAGCTAAACAAACTTCAGACCAAAAATCCATTAGCAAAAGTAAAAGCTTACATACAGAGCAAAAAGGTTTATGGGCCAATAGAAAACCCATTTCCAAACTACTTTACCCATAAAACATTGTTTTTTTAAAAGCCTAAACTTGTAAAGGTGAACCAAAATATTGTCCAACAAACTCAAAGGCCCAATTTTTAACTTCTTTAAGCTCTACCAGTCTTTTTGCTAGCTTGGGCCATGTAATAGTAGCAACTAGCAAAGACAATCCATATCTGAAATTTCTTTGTTCATGTTTATTCATGTACCATGAGCCCAAAGGTCCAATTTTTAATTTCTTCATGTTTTGAGCTCGAGATATTCTTTACTCACATTCTTTACTCGAGAAGTCGTAAATGAATGTAAGCAAACTATTAAGAAATTAATGTCAAATTTATCGTTATATTATGAGTTAATGTTGAATTTTATTATTTTTATCTTAATTTTATGAAATTTATTTCTATATTTTTAATTATGTTATTTTTTTTGTAAAAAAAAATCAAAGAAAAAATGCAGGGACAAAATTCGATAAAATTGAAACATGTTAACAATATTAAATATTGAGTCATATAAAGTACATGAAAAAAATATACATCAATCCCAAATAAAAAGAAAAAATTAAACGTGTACAGAATTATATCAAATTTCTAAATAAATATATACGAAAATTAATTCTTATAATACTTTGCATCAATTAAAAGTTTTAGCTTCTCACAATTCTATTTGATTGCCATTGATAAAATGTATGATTTTAATCTTATTCGTTAATTATAATCGAATATACCTTATATAAGTGTGTGTATGTATATATATATATGTATATATGATTTTGCATGTAGAGATTTATTATGTCTAAATCTCTTGGATCATAAAATATATTAAAAATAATCCTCTTTCATCTAATATATTCAATCTTCTCATTTTAAAAATTTGAACTCATATTTTAAATTAATGTTTTAATTAAATTTTAACCGCTGAAAAATCAAATTATATACTTGAAAGTTGAATCCAAAAAAGATAAAAAATAAAAAAATAAAACAGAGCTTCATTTTTACAGCATTTAATATAAGAAGACTTCCTACCACTCATCAGTTAAAAACACAATCAACTTTTTAAGTTTATAAAAACATCTACAAAAACACCAATTTCATTCATTTCACTTGCACTTTCTTCAACTGTACCATCCTTGCATTCTACCACATCAATAAAACTATGCCAACACAAAAATAGACATTTCTTATTGAAGTAAGCAAAGCATAAAAATTTCTAAAATTAAACACATAAACAGACCCAACATTCAATCAATAAAAATTTAACTTTTTTAGATAACAACAACAAACAAACCGACTTCAAAAAAGTTAAAAATTTAAAAGAAAAATTACCTGTCTACGAATCAAATCACCACGCAGAGAGTAAACCAAGAGGAATCCTCGGGAGGTCCTAACTGCATTCACTCTAATCCCCTCGAAAACCAGACACTCCATGGCCGTGTTGTGATCGGCCTCGATAGGTGATGGTTTGGATAGTATCTTGACCTGAAGCTAATCGACGTCAGACCATTAGAGGATGAGAATAAGAAATCAGTTGGCAATATCGGCGGGAGAATGGGCGTCGGGAGCGCAAAGGAGAGTGGTACTGCTGGCGTCAGGGGGCTCTCCAGCCTTCCTTGCACGTCTGCGCTCCAGACGCTCATTATTGACTAGCGCAATAAATATTTGATAAATAAAACATAACACGTGTTTTGATAATATTGGTTTTTTTTAATTTATTTATCAAATGAACTTATTGTTAATAAAATTAAAGTTTCAAATAAAATATTTGAAAAAAAATAAAATTCGAATATTTAATCTTGAATTTTTTTTTTAAAATCAACTTAAGAAAAATGATTTAATTTAGAGGCTTACAAGTAATTTTTTTTAAAACAATAGGGATAATTACTTTAAAAAAAAACTATATACACTTAGTGGAACAATTACTTTAACATCTCATAAGCAAATGTTAAAACAAAGCATAATATATTGTCACAAAAATTAAATAAAATAAAAACACATAAATTTACAAATGAAGACACATCCATCCATATCTATATGATAAGCTGAGAACAAGTAAAGCAATCTACACTAACAACACCTTGAATAATACATATTACCCATGTTGTGTTACAATCATTCAGATATTCAATGAACACCCAAAACTGAACACTTGCTTTTTCTAGCCAGATTTTATTCAAACAAGATGCACTGGATTCGGTTTGAACGCCACTCTGAGAAGTAGGAAAAAACTAGGAAACCCTCACCTAGGCATGATCTGGATGTACTGCTAGTTTCTTCTTCGTCCATGGACCCAGAATGAAACTTTCTTCTGCCAATCTCTCTCGATCTTTCTAACAATCCACCACGGTCTTCCAGTTATGAAAACAATGTATCCCATGCTCAATCCCAACACCACTCCACTTCCATACCCCATCATTGCTACTTTCCAAATAAAGGGTACTGAAAAACCTTCATGTTCCTCAAACATTGGTGCAGGAGGCTTTGGTCCCCCACGGTTGTTGCATTGCTTTGACAATGGTGAGCCACACAATCCCAAGTTACCGCTGTAGGAATCATTATCAAACGTATCAAATTCATTCCCATGGGGAATTGGTCCGATAAGATTATTTTCTGGAAGGTTTAACACTGAAAGGAATGTCAGATTCATCAATTGGGAAGGAATTCTTCCACCAAGCTTGTTTGATGAGAGATCCAACGATTCAAGTGCTACCATATTTCCTAAAGATGGTGGGATAGGACCAGTGAAGTTGTTGTGAGAGAAGTTGAGCATTTGCAGCGAAATATGTTCTCCAAGTTTCAGGAATTTGTCCACCGAATAGGTTGTTTGAAAAGTCCATGGCTGCGAAAATGGCTAAGGTTTTCACCAACTCAATCTCCAATCTTTTTGTTGTCACATTCACATAAATTTGGTAGTACTCATAAACATATCTAGTTCGAGCATCTGTCTTGAATAAATATGACTCTGACAGCGGCTTTTTAGGTACTTCTTTCATTGCTCTCAAATTTTGGAATAAATTTGTTGGCAAGGGGCCAGTGAGCTCATTTCCAGAGAGATCAATTATTCTCAATGTGGAGAAGTTAGAAGAAGCTATGGAATTGGGCAAAGAACCATGCAATCTATTCAATCGCAGGATAAGAACTTGCAGCCTTGGAAGTGAAGCTAACCAATGGGGAAAGGTATCAGTTAATTTGTTGTTCCCTAAATTGAGAACTTCCAAAGAACTGCAGTTAGCCAAAGATCGAGCCAGTGATCCTTCCAATTGATTGTCATTGAGGAAAAGATTTCTCAACATATTATTCATAAAAGAATCAGGGATTTTGCCATAAAAGTTATTCATCTGCAAATTCACGAACTGGAGAGCACTGCTGGCATTTCCAAGACATTCTGGAATAGTTCCACTCATTTAGACAAGTCGAGAACCACCAGGGATGTCCAATTGCAAATCAGGGAAGGGATATTTCCGGTCAATTTATTCTCTGAAATAAAAAATATGCTCAAGAATAGTGGTGGATTTGGCATTTGAAGATTCAAGCAAGTTGAGAGAATTGGCCCTTGAAGCATGTTGGAATGAAGATTAATAATTTGAAGATATTTTCCTGGAAATTGCTCCAAACTGGTAACAAAGTTGTAAGAAAGGTTCAACATGTTCAATTCTACCCACCCTTCTGCTTCCCATTTGGAAATTCCACCGGAAATCTTGTTATTGGAAAGATCCAAAACTTCTAACCTTGATGTCCAAAAAAAACTTGGAAACTGTCTCACGCTACATGAAGAGAATAACACTCTAACAAGCTGATGGAAGGAATAGTTTACATCATTGCCACTAGTGATTAATGATAGTAAACTATTGTTTGAAAGATCAAGAGTGTAAAGATTTTCCAGTTTGAAGAGCATATTTGACTCGATGACACCACTCAAGTTGTTTGATGAAATATGAAGTGTGCTAAGGTTCACAAGATCAAAAAAAGAACTGGGTATTGGACCATGAATGTCATTAGAACTCAAATCAACATATTTGACAAAATTAGGTTTCTGAATTTGGTCAACTGGACCGGTGAGTTTGTTATGGCTGAGGTCTAGATTTTGCAATGATGGCAAAGTAAACAGCCAAGATGGTACTCCACCTCTTACAGAGTTATTAGATAACCAAAACACCTCAAGCAATTGAAGCTCACTAAAATGATTTGGCAGGGGACCTTCTAATCCGTTATATGACAAATCTAGCTGGGTGATTTGTGTGAGGTTGAACATAGTTATTGGAAGCTGACCACTAAAATTGCAGGAATAAAATGTCAAAGAAGTTAATTTGTTGAGATTTCCAAAAACATCTGGAATCTGTCCTGCAAAACTATTTCCAGATAAATCTATGGAAATAATTTGAGTGAGATTTCCGAATGATGCAGGAATTGACCCTCTAAAAGCACAATAGTAAAGATCCAACAACTTAAGGGCACGACTCAAGTTTGTCTTAGGCAGATAACCTGTGAGATTTTCATTCCAACCTAAATCTATATGTTGAAGGTATGGAAGCTGAAAATTTTCACTTGGGAATTCCCCATGTAATTGACAATCTCAGAGACTCAAACTTTCCACAGATGAAGTCAAGTTTAGAAAGGAAGAAACTGCAGTACCAGACATATCTACATAATCAAGGACAAGGTTTCTTATTTTGGTTAAGTTTCTTGCAACCATGTCAAAACCTTGTGCATCAAATCTCAAGTTGGAATAAGCATTAATGGAAAGATCAAGCGAAACCAAATTTGACAGGAGACTAATTTCATATGGGATTAAGTCAGAGAATCCAGAATGAGAGAGATTAAGATGGGTTAACTCACTAACTGAGTAAATAAGTCTGATGAGATAGAGCCATTGAAATCATTGTGAGCAAGGTTGAGTTCTTGGAGTCCTAGTAGGTGGAAGAGACTGCTGTTTTCAAGAAGAGAGCCAGAAAGATCATTGAAACTGAGGTCAAGCCATTGAAGGCTTTGAAGATGGAAGAGGCTGTTGTTTGCATGGAGAGAACCGTGAAGGCAGCTGTCACTAAGATCAATACCAATTGCATGACCGGTTACCTTGTTGCAGGTGACTCCCTCCCATGAACAGCAATCAGTGCTTTCGTTCCAGGAATTTGTCCTGGGGTAAGAAGCAAATATCCCGCAATAATCATCAAGAGAAATGGTGTTTTTATATTCGAGCAAAGCAGCTCTCTGTTCTGGGAGACGTAAATGAGTTGAATGAAAAAAAAAGGAACAGGAACTCCATGAACAACCAACGTGGAAATGCTGCAAGAAAGCTAAAAGAAAGCAAAGGATTTGATACAACGTACCAATCACCACATTATCTCTAGAAAAAGAAAGGAAAGAAACAATGGAGGTGAACCTGAAAATGAGCTGTGGTTGAGGGATATATATCATTGTCAAGTCAACCATTTCCAAAGTCTTTAAAGCTGTTTTCCATTAGTCATTAAAGCAGTTCAGTTGTTATGTTTGAAAAGAATTAGTCATGATGTTCAAAGGGGAAGGAAAAAGTAGAATAAGCCCATTTCCCAAGTTTGGTTAAAAAAACAACTGTGACAAGATACATTCCAAATTATGTAAATATATTTACATTTATTAAATTTTGATTACTTATACGTTTATATTCAAATTAATAAATGATATAAGTAATTTAGGAAATAAACTTTGGAAAATAAGATCCGGATAACAATTGCATAAACTTTAAACTTTCTCAAAATAAATTTATTTATTACAAATATATAATATCGAGTTTATCAAAAATAAGGAAAAGGCCTAGTTTTTTTTTTTTTTGAAAAAAATATTTTTCATCTAATCCCTTACTTTAAATATATACAAACAAATGAAATAAAATAAATAATTAAATAGAAAAACTCTTAATTTCCAATTTTTAAAAAATTGATAAAAATATTTCAAACTTTTCATAAAAAAAAAAAATATTTTTCTATATTTAGTATTTTCCTTTTTTATTAATTATATGTTTAAATAAAAATAAAGATAAAAAATTATATATAATTTAATTGAAATTCACCCCTAAACGCAACGTTTTGCTGGTAGTCTTTCGATAATCTTTCGGCTTTACCTCTAAAAATGATCCAAAATTTTCTCATTCATTTTTTCAGAGCAAAAAATGCAGCCTTAAAGTCTCTCATTCTCTAAAGCCCCAAACCCCTCTTTCCTTATCTTCCCTTTCCCTAAACCCATACCATCCCCTTCACTTCCCTGCCAAAACCACCCATATTGTGGCAAAAAGTCCCCCATACTTTGCATCCATCACCAAGACGTCCGGGCCTTAGCTGGGAGGAGCAAGAAGAAACCGGGTGGCCAATCATCGGGTAGACTCGAAGGGAACGCAGAGGTAAGGCACGTGGCGAAGCAAAACGCGCGTCGAAAATCGAAAAAGCTAGCCGAATCCCTCTTCTACCGGTTGAAAAACTCGGGAAAAAGAAACCATGCTGATAACTTCACGGAAGAAGAGATGGAAGCAATCGGTCTTGGGTATGACCGGATGGTCCGGTTCATGGAAAAAGACGACCCAAATTTAGGACACCCTTTTGATTGGTACAAGTATGGTGAATTTGGCCTTATTCTTGGCGTGAGGTTGTTGTCGGGGACCAAATTCGAGGGCGGTTTTCGGATGAAAGGGTCACAATTATAGGAGAAGTGAAGAATCATGAGGAATGGGAAAAGATAGAGCAGTTCGAGATGGCTTCAGAGTTTAGGAAAAGGTTGGAAACGATGGATAAAAATATTGGTTTTAGGTATTTTTGGGTGTTTGTTAGGCACCCGAAATGGAGATTAAATGAATTGCCTTGGGAGCAATAGACTTTGGTCAGTGAAGTTGCTGTTGAAGCTAGAAAAAATGAGAGATTAGATAAGTGGAGTTTGATGGGGAGGTTAGGGAATGAAGCTGGATCTTTGATTACTCAATGTGCAGCTTGGATGAGACCGGATATCATTTATGTTAAGAAGCCGGTATATCAATGTAGGTTTGAGCCTCAAGATGAGTTTTTTGAGGTGTTGATGCCATTTGTTGATCCGAAAACGGAAGGGGAGTATTTGTTTGAGGTTAGAGAAGAGGATGGGAGTGTGGAAATGTGTAGTTATTTTGAGGGTTCTGTAAGATTGTGAAGGTGAGTCAAAAGGCTTTTGTGGATGATGTGGTGAAGGGGTTTAAGAAGTTGAGTGAGTAAAGGAAATCGCGGTGTTTGGAGTTTTTGTTGGGGACTCATCCTGTGCCTCTTTTGCATCCATATACAAAGGAGTGGAAGGCTAAGTTGGAGGAGATGGAGTTGGGTTATGATGCACCGGATGCTGATGAGGACGATAGGGGCCGACATTCTGGTGAGATCCAGTTCACGGATTGGATTGAGGATGATGGTGGTGATGATGATGATGAGGAGGATCAAGATGATGTGTTTCTGGACATGGAAGAAGGTGGGGATGAAGAATTTGGGACTGAAGAAGAGGAATCTGAGGAAGAAGAGGATGAAAAGTACTGGGAGGAAGAGTTTCAGAAGGCCGTAAGCAGCTCAGAAAGGATGGAAAAAATTGCAAAACGAAATGTTGAGATAACTACAGAGTTCTATAAGAAGCAGTTGGGGGTAATGGAAGATGGAGATGAAACTGCCCTGAGGGGTAAAAGAGCAAAAGTGAGACCAGAAGAGTGGAAGTATGCTGGGATTGGTCCATGGAGGAGGAGGATTAAGAAGATCAAAATTCCTCCGGAGCTGTTTTTGCGAGCATGAATTAGACCATTCACTTATAGGAATATTGTGAAGGAGATTGTCTTGACAAGGCATGCAATATTGGAGGGTGAGATTGGTAGGAAAGAATAAGGCAGTAAATTTATGGGAAGAACTTTAGGTATTTGAATATCATGCAGATGACCAGACATCCATGACATATCTGTATTTGCTGCACCAAGCTTGCATTTAATAACTGTTAAAGGAACCTTGAAACCATTTGTAAAACTATTGCAAACGTTTGTTTTAGAACAATTTTGTTCAGAGTTGAGGCAGTCATGAGCTAGAGTTCGGACAGGCTTTCTATCTTGTGTTGAATTTACATATCTAATAGTTATTATGTATTTTATATGACCTACTGCATTGATTTTGCTCTGTAGAATTGCATTTTGACTCCTCTATTGAAATAGATCCTTTCTGGCCCTGATTAATGGCGTTCGATTATGAAGGGATTGTGCAGCAACCAGCAACAATTATTAATGCCCTGTATCCTCCCAGCCATCTTAATTGATCTTGGTGTGCACATACCTATATGTTAAAATGAAGACAGTTCATACATATGATCCATTATTTAAAAGAGCAAGCATACTGCATCTTCAATCCGGCCTTGGCACATCTGGATCAACATAGCATACTTAGGATTGAGCTAATTCCGCAGCTCATTATGTGTTCAGAAATATTGTTGTTTGCTTTATGTGGGCTATAAATTCAATAACTTTTAGTTGCTACTGTCGTTCAAAGTAGATGGCATTATGGAAAAAGTCATAGTTTGGTTCCATCGGAGGCTTAACCCTGTATCCAATTCAGATACAAGTAGTTTCCTGTATAAATTCAATCTAAAGGATAATAATCTCCAAAGAAAATAATTTGTCTGTCCAGACATTGCCGCTAAAAAGATCCATCAGAAAAGATGGCTATAGCTTAAAACTAATACATAACCACATGCTAGTCAGTGATAGTGCATGAGCAAATACTAACCAAATTCACTCAAGTACTGAAATAGTCCTCGGGAACATAAAATTTCAATCCTATCGCCTGCAACCATACGAAAATCATGTAAGTGACTCTTATTTACCATGCAGATCCAGTAATTAATTTTTTTTTTATACTACTAGAAACTAATGAAATAACAGTGAGTGAATGCCCTCACATACCAAACAACTTGACAAATTTTTCACGTGACATGAAAGATACTTATTTGATGCATTTGAGTTTTGATCTTATCAACAATTTATGAATTTCAATGCTTCTAGAGTTGATCAGAGTAGTAATGTGGATTTCTCATATTAATTAATGTGGTTATCTTTGTTAAAACTTTTTCAAGGGAAGTCCCACATATCTTTTCTTTTCTCGTCCGGATGAAAACTTAATAGTGTAAGAGTTTAGAATACGTGCATTAAAATGACCAGGTTTAGAATACGTGCTTTAAAATGATCGTAGTTTCTTGCACATTGCTGAAAAGGGCTAAGAGGAAACAATAACAAGGCTATGAAAAAGGTTGCAAAATTGTGTAAATCAGCGTTATAGACAAATGGAACATTTCTGTATTCCAGTCCCAACCAAATGGCAAAATAGAAAGACAAGTTATTGCATACAAAAATCAATAATTGAACATTAATGCTTTTTGAAAAATAAAATAAAATGACAAGTTTAATGAAACCTGTGCAAATTTTATATCAGCATCACTATGATCATTAGGTCTCCCAGCAGCATCACCAACGTAAAAAGATCTACAAGACAGACAACCAGAGCTTCTGTCAGTCAATGTTCCTGTTCGAAAGTGATACTGAGACCCTAAAGTTTAGCAACCAGATCATACTATCTTCTCTCTCTTTTTTTTGGATAATTAAGATCATACTCTCACGCTAAGCACCAAGTA